AAATCTTTTCATCCTGACTTTAGGGATTCTCTTTTAAAAACCAGTGCTCAGTAGATGTTTCCATTGTCTCATAAAGACACCTTTTCGGGTATATTACTTTATATTATACCTGATTGTCTCTTGAACACAGCAAGGTTCAGGCTCCCACATCATCAGCCCAAGATTAAATATTTAACTTTCTTTCACATAGAAACAGTATTGTAAGGAAACTGAGGCACAGTAAACATTACAAAGCATTCTCACATTTTCTCCACCTTCCTAACAAGTCACTTCTCGACTGTTACCATCTCTTCATGGCCACCATCACTTCATTTATCTTCTGTTGTGACCAAATCTTAGCTTCTCCCACTTTGCTCACTGACAGTACCTTGTGATAAATCTCTATTTAACTTCCCAGGATGGAGGTTACGCAGCGTCAGTCCCACACACGAATTGAGAATTTAGGAAGAATGAAAACGTGACTGAAGTGTAGATGTTGATACAGAAGGCTTATCTTGCCCAATTATTTGGACAGGACTCTGAATCCAGACAAAATGGCTAGAGGAGAAAGGAAGATAAGACTCCAGACTAAGAAAAATGGGAGATTTAATGACGATGGAAAGAATAATACACAAAAATCAGGAAGACTCAGACACGAGTCCGGTAAGGAAGCAGCATGTTTTGGAATACTGCTCCATCTCCACTTTTGCAGATGAGACAGTAGATGCCTACTTTCATTTTGTTCCTGGAGACATTGGTCTGGTGATACTATAAGTGGTTGGATCTGGTTTAGTGCAGCAAATCTACGTATTTCTTAAAGTATTGTAATAAAAGAATAAATAGCGAAAACATGTTCTCCAAGTCATGTGTCAGAGGATCATGTTCATCATTTACAGTGTCTCTTTACATCATGGACAGTGTTTCTGTCCAATAACCTGTAACATGAAGCTTCCAAGCTGGATGAAACCTCAAGATTTTATTGAAACAACAACTAACACTGTCATAATTTCCTTGAACTGCCTTCTTATTTGAGGGCAGATAATTTACTTGCACAGTGATTCTGAATGGCTGGGTTTCTTTGGTGATACATGAGTACAGGAAGACGCACTCAAGATTATAGCAATCATAACAGCTTCAAAATGCATCACAGGGGTAACCTGAAGTTACTGAAATACTTCTGAATTATTTCAGGATTTTCAAATGGATTATTTAGATCATCCTTAAGTAATTTACTAAGCAGGACATGTGTGTCTGTGTACATGTATATACATCTGCTAACACAAACTGAGAGGACCAAGGCCGAGACACAGAGAAAGCTCAAAGACCAGGTCAACTTTTAGCTTTAAATATCTCCCATATTACTTAGCGTATTTGTAAGATGGAAAGTCATCAAAGACCTCAAAGCAGGCAGATAAAATAAAAGTTGTTTTCTGACTTTTTAAATGGCAAAACAAATTATGACTTATTTTATTTTCACAATTACAGGCTGGGGAAAAAAATGAGGTTAGGGGTTTAGATGATGTAGAGCCACCCACAGCTAGCCTGAGGAACACATTTCTTATTCAGCCTCAGAAATGCTCCCACATATTAAGATGTCAGAGTTCATCGTTGTTTATGCACTGGCTGCTTTCCATAATAATCAGACCCTCGGTCACTCTAGTAGAGAAGAGACTAATGCCATGTTTTTCAGACATGTTTTTCCTAGTAAACTGTGATTAGCTCTCTGCAGCACAGGACTGTGCCCTAGCAAATCACAGCATGAAAATTAGTTGTTTAAGTCTGTATGCAAACAAGAAATACAATGAAATATTGCTTCTACTCTCAACAGTCTTCCCAACTCCACAGGCATTTAATGTGCCCAGCATTTTTTTAACTACAGTAACTATTTATTACTGATACTTTCTGTTCAAATCCCATTGTTCTATGCTTACACAACTCAGTTTACAGCATCAAAGCCTTGCCTGAGTGAATGTTGATATCCTCATCACCAGTGCTCTCTGCGCTTCTCAATTTATCGCACTTACTGTTTGCAGCTATCAGTATTAAAACTCACAAAGACACGCAAAACACAGGAGTTACTTAACCCCATATCATCTATATTTAAATGCAGTAATTTCACAAATCTTAAAGAACAATGGAATTGGTTCAGATTTGGGGCAAGGCATTTCAGGTTCCCTCCTGCATTCTTCTGCTAAGGAAAGGAAAAGATTAAGTCATCTTGAATGTATTATTAAAGCATTAACCTCCATTTTTGCTCCAAAGAAGTCAGTTGGGAAAGAAGAGTCTTTCAGTCCTATACACTGAGGAAATTTTCTCTAGGGTGTAACAACAATTTCAGACCAACAGAGAGGGGAGTATGGCTGGCTGAGCATCTATGGAAGGGGACAATGCAGCCTTGCCATAGCCAGAAAACTTTTGTGCACAGAATGGCATGAAGGAAAGCATTTTTTTAAGAAGCAACAGAGAACCGGGTATCCATGACCAAACAGCTCCAACGACCCTAATAACATGAGCAAATAGTGTAATTCCAGCCCAGTCCATAGGTCAGAGCACTTTGTGCAGAGCATGCTTTAGATGCTGGTACCCCAGTATGATCCCAGAGGTGATGTGTTTTGCTGCTCTAACCATTCCACACTTTATCAGCATAAAGTCCAGTTACTCCATTTGGGGGTATGTAAGCCAAGTTTTGCTTGTCCAGTTAGATTATGCTCCCTATTGCTGTAACTTCCAAAATCAGCAAATAAGGAACCATAAGACAAAAAAAATGCTTTTACCAGGCCATGAAGGATATGGGGTGGAACAAAGGGAGTGCAGAACACAGTACGTGTACCGAAGAGGGCTTTTTCCTTTGGAGTGCTCTCAGACCTCCACAATGCATGGGAATTAAGGAGCTCGGCGCTTTGCATTAACAGGCCCTAGAAAGATTAAATAATTGCCAGCGAGAATAGTAATTACTCTGACTTGCAAATCTACATACTTCACAGACATGGAAAGGACCCGAGAGAACAAAGACCACACCATGCAGAAATGGTGAAAATATCGAGTGACCATTTTCTGTCTTGGAAGCATCTTTCCTCCTGTCCCCATTCTGCATTTGTATAAATATTAGGTATTCATAGCTGACAAAATCCATAGTCTTGGATGGAAAAAATAAAAGCAAGTCTAACACAATGCCTGTATAAAAATTAGTTTTAATGAAGTGCCTACTGTGGATTTATTTCCTGATGTTCTTCTGTGGTAATAAACCCACATCCGTTAACACACTTGCAAACCAAACAGAAAAATGAAACCAGGAAATTTCTTGGCTGCCATCTACTGTTCAAAACTTTTCTGTATCACACAGAATAAAAACAAGAAGAAACCCAAAGAGCACTCACTGACATCTCCAGGTTTTCTCCTCCTCTTTACTATTCTTGGATAAAAACAATGTCTTTGGGCTGCTGTTAAAATCCACTATATTTCTGTAAGGATTCTTTGTACATGCTCACCTTTTAATCAGTCCCAAGAATGAGAAACACAAAAGCTTGTAAACTTAATGACACCCTGATTTAGGGAAGAACACTGTAGTATTCTTAGTATTTCAGTGAAAAAATGTACTTGTTAAAAAAGTTCTACTAATTCACTAGAGAGTGATTTCACTATACAGCAATAGTATAAGACAGCACTAGGACAGAGACTGAAAAGCAATGTGCAAGAAAGCTGTCTGCCTTCCCTTTTCTCAAGGATTTGTGTTACTGGGAGGGTAAGCCCTACAATTTATTTGTTTCTCTCTCTGTCTTACTTTGGGAGCTGCCTAGATCTCTTTGTCCTTTTCAACTCCTCTGCCCCATCTCCTGCCTCTTTGCTGCCCCAAAGAAGCCACTATGATCCTGCAGATCTGACAAGTAAGACAGGCTGGAATGAAAAGGGAATAATCATCTTTATGTCTGACCTATGAGATGACTTGGAAATTAGGTTTAAATGACATAGAATGCCAGGTTCTCACAGTTTATGACAGAAGCTGAAGGGACTATAATCTGCAGTAAAGGAGAACCAGGAGTTTACTGAGAGATCTTAGGCCTGCAAGGACAAAAACATCTGAAACTGGATTCCTGGGTCAATTCTGTCACTCACTTGCAGACTTTAGTCATATGGTTATAAACTGAAGACTCATCCTAGTAAAATATACTGGAAGCCAATTAAGTACTTAATCTGAAAGCATCTAGTAACCTTCTCTTTACCATCTCGTCCAAACCCACTCACAGCAGGTCCAACGAGTTCAGGCTGCTCAGGCCCTGTCTGGTCAGGTTTCGAACAGGATGGAGATGTCACACCTCTCTGGACAATCAGTTCCAGTATTTCACCACCCCCACCAGCCAACGTCTCCTACTCATTCACCTGCTTGGCATATTTAAAAAACAGTATTTCTAAGATCCCCACTCAAAAGCTCACAAGACTATATATATATTACATATCTACGCATACGTACATATATAGCATAATGAAGTTGACCATGTACTTCTAGTCTCTAGGGAACAAACTGCTCCCTCTTACACAAAGGTATCAGATGGTGAAACAGCTTTTCAGGAATGGTTGTAGAATATGACAACTTCAAGTACAACGCACATTAAAATCTGAACCTTTGTAGGAAGGTACTAACAGATGATCTAGTAGTAACTTCAGCTTTCACAAAGTCTTTTCTCTACTCTTTAGTTTCCTTCAGTATTCCTCAAAGTTCAGAGTGATCTGCAGAAAAGTAATACTGATCAGGAATCAGCCTACCAGCAATCTGAAAGGTACGATACTCAGTGGCTGAGGAATGCAAGCAGGTCAGGGCTCATACTGTAAAAAACAGGAGAAAATGCAAAAGAAAGCAAAGAAATTAAACAAAAGAAAAACCCCCACCTTGAGCACAATAAAAAGTGCATTATAGTTCGTGCACTGCATACCAGGTCATTCTGAAGCTTGTGGGCAGGGATGTAATTATCTGTGTCCTGTATTTCCAGGAAAAGAATTTGGATGAACTTGGTACTTCGACCTACCTGGTTTGAAATGGGGTAAAGAGTGGACTCCAGGCCACGTATCTTCGTTTGGTGTTCCAAGTACCTGTGCACAAAAAGAGAAAAGAAAAAAAAAACACACATTGCTGTAATGGAAAAGACGTAACAAGTCACAGCATTGCATAAAGCTACTCCTCCAAAGAGCTCAATGTACCTTACAATCTAAACTTTAAATAGGCTTAATTTGGGGGGGGAAGGCGGGGAGGAAGAGGGTACAAAAAGTTAAATGATTACCATGGTTTCAAGGTACTAGTGTAGTCAGTAAAGCACGTAACAGTGCTGTGTTCCTGTCAGGTTGCCTATTTAACCAATACATGTTAAAGCTACTTTCCACTGACAAGTGCCAAGCTACCTGCATATCTCAAAGCGCCGGTGTTACAGTGGCTAGATATTTTAGCTCAGAAATAATTTCAATTCCTGTAAACTTAAATAAGCTGAACAGATACCTAATAGATGCTAGGATAGAATATCTACACAGATGGTGAAGCAGATGACCAAGAGCATGGCATGAACAAGAATGCACAGCAAATAGTTGTCATTTTAAGTGGATGCAGTATACATAAAAATAGTAAATTTTTAGGAAATACAGACTTTATAGACTCATGCATTATGCTTTGTTTCTATTCACTTCAACTGTCCTCCTTCTTGTAGTGTGAGACCAACCTTCAGCAGCAAAGTATTTAACACTTCTCACATGCATCTTATATCCTCTGCTCACATGAAAAGTTCACCCCCCATGTCTTTGGCACAAATAATAAATAAATTGAGAGAACTATAATTAGTTCTCCCAAACCTGTTTTTGCTTCATGAGACATAACTGTCAATGCTTGCTTTAAGTGGAGCCAAGAGGAACACCTAAAGTAGCAGCTCTACAAATGCATTTCTGAATGAGTTGTGGAATTTGATATTTCACTAGTGGGATATTCCTTGTTACAAATTTACACTCAATTTCTAACATGAATGAAAATGCTAGGGACTGTTTTCAGTATTTGTTATAAACTCAGGCCCTGGAATAAAAGGCTGATAACCTAAAGGGAAAGCATTTCACACTAGTCTGGTGCTTGTTTTGCATTGTCATAAACGTACAAAGCCCCCTGCCAGCCCTGCCCCTACCTGCACTGCAGATCTTCTGAATAGATCTTTTGGACCTGCATATCTTGAGTGACTGATATTCTGTAGTCACTTAAACCAGCACAAAACAAGCACAAAGTTAGTGTGAAAATCTTTGGTCCAAGTATGTGAAGGTTTGTGACCCTTCAGGGCAGACTACAAGACATCTACTCCCAGTCATTTGGAGCTGAAGAGATTTTTTTTTTTTATTGTGTCTGCTGCAATATACATATGCATTAAAAGCATTAAAGGAAGGACCACTTTAGAAGATTTGTTGCACTTCTTAAGCTGTGTAAGCATTTGTTCATGTTGATAAATTCAAGCTTAAAAAAATTCTTAGAAGCAAGACTAGGAAGCTAAACCACAAAAAATTTCTTTTCAACTCTGCCAGAATTTATTTCATAAAATTTAGAAACTGGCCTAAAAACCTGAGGCAAAAGTAAGTGACCTCTTATTCTTACCTACAAAGTGTGCTTTATGACTCTTGGGCCTCAAGTTTGTTAAGCAATTTACAATACTAACGTGTTTCTAATCTAAGAATATTAATGCAAAGATCATCTTTCTCCACTATCAAATACAACAAGCAAATAGCCCAATTTAGATGTAGTATGACCAATAGGAGGTGGGAGCAGAGCACCAAGGTGTCAGAGAAACAAAGATGACAGTATCAGTTCAATTAGGCTGTATACACTCATGGGGTTATTTGGATATGCAAGTTCACTGATTTTATTTGTAAATATTGTTTGTAGGACATTGCTTTCAGTCCTTGTGAAATATGTCTTAATCGGCATTTGAATAAGAAAAACCTGGCCCCGCAACCCTGATTCATCACACCACCGTATTAATTTCATTATTGCTACTAGGAAAAGCACAATTCCCTGATTAAACATAGAAGAAGTTAGGAGACACCGTTGACTCTATGTCGTGATTAAATCAATTTGCAAATAACTTTCACCTGGCTTCTGTATCAATCAAACTCCTGGTGCCAAGCACCTCCCAGACCAGGAGAGGGAGCCCGTGGATTAAAAACACAGATTCTCACATCCTCAGTTTAAATTAAGAAATACGGTCCTCAACTTTGCAACCCCTCTTAGCAAATCAAAGGAATATTCTCTCATGAAATGTTATGAATATAAGAAAATTAGTCACATCCTTCTAAATGTATGTTCTTAATCATCTCTTATTTTAGATGAGACATAGGCAGCTAAGGCACTGTACAGATGAATGTTAAAACCAGCTAACAAACATTTATCAGACCTATTTAATGTAGAACTTGGAGCTAAGAAACAGATTATTCTGATTTTCAAAGTAACATCAGGTCCAGGAACAGGCGGCTTCATGGGAGATCACTTTTATAATGAACCTTATGTGACTCTCAATTTTTTTGTTCACTAGTTTTCCAATCCACCTCTTTAATAATATTCCAGCACATCTGCTGTTACAATGCTTAAGAGCCAGCTACGAACAAGTTCTGTGCGTTGGAGTACTCAAACCGCCTACAGTACCCCTTCTGTCAAGGGTAGCAGTCAGGCTAAAAACAACTACGGTTTTCTATCGTCTAAATGCCTACCATGTTTAAGGTAGGGGCACTTGGTAGTTCAGGGAAGGATCCAGACACTGTATTTTAATGCATTGTAAAAACACTATAAAGATCATCCTTCTTCCATACAATTTTTAACATGCACAATACAGAAATTCACAATATGTGACTATCAATCAACAAACAAGAAGGCAGCAGTGAAACAACTGTGGTTTTGGAGAAGATAAAACAGTCACTGCCTACAGGTATGTCAACATAAAGTGATTTGTAAGCATCACCTTGCAAGTGATACTTCTAAGCAGCAATCAATCCCATTTTGATGAGGTGGGATTAGGCAACCCAAAGCAATGAGTTCTGATACCTGCTATAAACACAGTAAAGTGGAGTTCACATATAAAACCACGGGGGAGAAAGATCTGCCTTGTTTTGCAGCTTACAAAAGAGAATTACGGGACCAACATGGAAAAGGAAAGTGAGGGAGGAAGGGAGAACCCAACAGTCTTCTGGTTTTAATCCAAAACAGTGTCCCTTAGCATTTAAGAGTGATTATCCAGACCAAACCACTGGCAACATCTTGGCACCATAGAAAGGCATCTAACTAACCAGCTGTAGCAAACCACTGGTTACCCAGCCAGTGCTGGAGAGCAAGCCTGACCTTACAGCGACAACCGGTGAAAGTGGAAGATACAGGAGACACAGCAGCCTGAGACAACAGCCATTACACCAGGACCTATCATTTTATGGGTGACGACCTAGCTCTGACTGTCCTTTCATGGTCCACCACTTCTGATCCCAAGCATGCCACCAGGAGTTCTGTCTCTTCTACATTTTAACACTTTTTCTTTCCATTCCTTGTTCCAAAAACACGAAAATAACCACTGCTGTCACAGCAATCAAGCCCCAACTTAATATTGGAAATGGTTTGATATCCAATGCATGGTTTGATATCCTATTTTTTAAATTGAATTACTAACACAAGAATAATCCACAATTCTCAAATTTGGAATGGATTTAGTGTTTTCCAGGGGCCAGGATGGTTATGGTTTCTGGAAAGAAAACTCCCAAACCTACTGGGGTTTTGCTGTTCCACGCTACACACAACTGTAAGATAAAACACTCTGAGCTCTTTTATTCCCTAATAAACAAGATAAAATTACCTTCTCATTTGAAACTTGCTGTTCAAAATTAGGACCAGATTCTAATCTAATTTGTATGGTGAGAAATCTATTTATACGAAAATAACAGATTTACAGTACATCAGGGTACTGAGGGCCAAATACCTTTACTGCCAGTTGACATTGTTACTGTTTGGCAGACAGTTACAAAAACAGAACCTGCTGTTCAAATCTCTATATACAAGCATAATATAGAAAGATTGCCCAGGAAATGCAACACAAATGCATTAAGGTCTATTTCAATGCCTTAATTTTTTAATATAAGAGAAAAAGTTGTTTGCTTTTTGCGTCTGATTTTACAAAGACTCATCATTCCCCTAATTAATGTGCTCCCTGGTGTCCACGGGAGTCATTATTTTACAGTGAGCATTATGCCACTCTATCAACACAATTAGTCATATTGTCCTGTATTCTGCTTCGAATGCAAAAACATTCCCTATTACTGCCACGTAATAAGGTCATTCTGGGTAACAATTTGTTCGGAGAAGTCATCCAAATCTCTTGTGAGATAAGCAGCAGTGCAAATCTTTCCCACCAGCTCTTTCCCAAGTGCTGGCATAATTAGTAAAGAACAAGTATTTCCATTTGCACTACAACTTTTGAATATACAAAGCCGTGTATTACTGAAATAATGCTTTAACCCTGGTTAGATCTGACGATCATCAAGAAAGGTGGTGGTTTGGACTTCAACAAGACAAAGAATATGCATCCAGTGATATTATTCAGGGGTTTGTAGCAACAGAGAAGAATGAAAAACAAGATCAGCATGCAAATGAGCTGCCTTTCCTTAGACAACATTTATGGAAATCAAGCTAAGCAATTTGCTGAATTTTCAAGTTTTTTCATGTTAGGTCAACTTGATGAATAAAAAAAGTTTAGTCAAAAAAAAGTCAGGAGTCTTTCTTTTTTTTTTCCTTTAATAAAAAGACGTTTTTGTTTAAAAATGCCCTAGAATTTTAACTAGGAAAAGTTACAAGCTGTATGTAAAAATGTTTTCTTATTTTATTTTTCCTTTTAAGGATCATCAAGATTTCTGTTCCAGTCTTTGAATAAAAAGTTTAGTCAAAAAAAAGTCAGGAGTCTTTCTTTTTTTTTTCCTTTAATAAAAAGACGTTTTTGTTTAAAAATGCCCTAGAATTTTAACTAGGAAAAGTTACAAGCTGTATGTAAAAATGTTTTCTTATTTTATTTTTCCTTTTAAGGATCATCAAGATTTCTGTT